GCCGATGATGTTTGTTTGGAAGAGGATTGACAGAGTTAGAAGAGGATGGTTCACGCAGATCGGACCAGAGTTGTTTTATATGAGCTTCGTAGTTGGTTTATGCAATAATCGGAATAATTGTCCGCTTTGGTCGAGTTCATGTTTTTATCCCGATCGATAGTTGGTTTATTTGTTTATAACAGCCGATTTAAGTGTGCTGGGTAGTACATTAAAATATAGTTCGTAGTCTTTTTTAATTTAGCGTATGAATTTTGCATTTTAAGTTTATTTTTGATGATATTAATGTATTATCATTTCAAATGTATTTGCAGTCTATTTAATTATTTTTTAGTATTCTGCATTTTTAATTTTGTTTCATGATTTTAGGTTTTTTCGATGGCGAATTTCGTACGGATTTTTTGTTGAGGTTTGGTGGGTTGGTTGCTATAAAGAGGTGTTTACGATGTAATGGCTCGGTAACTTCGGTTAAGTGTTAAACCGTTGTAATACAGTAGTATACTATTATGAATACCGTATGATACTACCAGTATCATTTTATTATACTATTATGAGATTATTAATGTACTAGAGTTTTTTAACTCGACATATTGGTTTGATTGTGTTATGATGTGTTTTATGTATTTTATCAAAACCCTAGATTGAAATTATGAGATTATTAATGTACTATTTTATTGGTTATGTGGAATACTTTACGTTGGTGTTGTTCTCAATGTTCTTGTCATTTCAGTGGTATATTGTTTGTAACACAATTTCATATCAATATTATAACCGTAATATACTATCACAGCAGATTAATGTACTATATTGAAATTATTAATATACTATGTGGTTGAATAATACGGGATCCATACTCTATTAACGAGATCCATAGTCGAATTAGATCAATAAGATAGTCTATTACATGATATAAGGAAAATTACCTTAATTGATTAGTATAACAAACATATTATTCAGTTTCCATATATATTATTATTTTTTCATATATATTATTATTTACCCTAATCGTTTTCATATAATAAGGAAAATTACCCTAATTGATTAGTATTTCAAACAAACATATTATTCAGTTTCCATATATATTATTATTTTTCCAATAGTCAATTAATTAAACCCATAGTCGAATTAGATACATGAGATAGTCTATTAAAAGATATGAGATAGTCTATTAATTTTAAAAAGGTAAAGTAACGGGATTTGTGGGATTTGATTGAGGGTAATTATGTAATTACGAAAAGCTTGGGCTTTTATCAAAATGGCAAATTTAAATTTGGGTCTACCCCTATTATTTGAATGTTTAAGGGGGTTATATCTAATAGACCCTAAATTAAATGATATTTAACTCTAAAAGATAACAAATATAAATGATTAATAAAATATAATAAATACATGAATCTAAATTTATAAAATATATTAATGCATTAAATTTATTTTAAAAGATTATGAATATTATTATAATAAAAAATCGAATTTGTTTTGCGTAGAATTCAAAAAAATTCAAAATCTTTTAAAATTAAAAAATATATACGTTATTTAAAAAAAATTTGAAAATATATACATAATATAAAAAAATGAATATTATGCATTAAAGAATAAATATTTTTCGAATGTATATATAGATTAAATACATTTAAAGAATATAAGTATATGTGGTAATGTTCAATATATAGATTAAATAGTACAATTAAAAAAATAAAATATTTTTTTTTATAATTATTTTTAATGGGTTGGATATTCGAATATTCCAAAATATGGAAAATTCGAAAAAAAAAACAATTGTATTCCTTAATTTTAATATTTGAATATCAAAAAAATATTTTTTTTTCTAAAAATTATTTGAATATTCGTAAAAAAATTGAGTATCATGAATTTTTTCAATAAATATATTTTGAAATAATGAAAATATAAATAAGATTTTTTTTTCGAATTTATAAAATATTAACTTTGGAAATAATATATATACATGTTGTAATTGTTTAAATGAGTGTATAAATATTAAATAGGAAATAACTTAAATACATACCAAAATGAAATTGACAACTCACAAATTGAAGAATCCACCTAAGCAATTGAACTCCAACTAAGCAATTTTCAAAAATGACATCTTCATTTGCCACATGTCAATCATTGAGGGCATAGATCCTCTTTTTATATTATATATAGATGTGGTTGATTATATGGTGTACTCAATGATTACTAAGATAATGATTATATGGTGCACGGAGTTTTATTGCACTAATATTTTTTCCCTTTAGACCCGATTTTGTTGACAAGATAATCCATAATTAACTAAATAGTTGGATTTAATTTAATGTTTGGTATCTCAATAAATTGTTGAGTCGACCCGCGAAAATTATATAATCATGACTTATCTTAACATATTTTGCCTTCTAGTAGTTTTTTTTTTTTTCATTTTTTTGAGAAATTAGTGACTCTTTTTTTTGTTGGACGTCGTGAGCTCCAATAAAATAATTAAGTTCCATTAGATTATTTAATCTTATCTTATCCAAACAATGTCTTTGTCTTGTACTATTATTCTCTTTTTCTCCACATAATATAATCATGGATTTACAACTGCTTTACACCAGTGAAGGAAATCATCAAGTCAATTATCAAAAGCTTGCATGTCTTTCTCACTTTTTAGCTTTTATAACTTTTTCTCATTCTTTAATAATATATTACAATTTTATTGAAGTATCTTAATGAGTTACAATTTTAAAAACATTTAAAATTTATTTTGGAGTTTTTACATTTGAAATTTATTGGATTCTTTAAAAAAATTAATATAGGTTCTTGTTCTAGTGTCTATGAATCGACCCAACTCGATTGAATATAAATGCCATTCATGTACTTTTATAAAATTGTCGAAAAAAATAACCACATCCAATGTTGATAGTTCATCTCTCGTATAGCATATTTTTTTTTAGGTGTCCTTTCCATATTTACTTTAATGTCAAAAGAAATGAGCTTCATTTATTTACTTACTTTTATGTTTTTTATATTTTTATTATTTTTATCGAAAGTTCAACCTCCCACCTTAGTACCCCACGGTCCGCTTCTGAAATTAACTCTAGAATTGCAGCGTTTGAGATGGTGAAATACTTTTAACTAACAAAATTATTAGAGTAGTAGTTGTAAAAATACATCGCTAGGGAATTTAAGCAAAACTAAATAATATCATGTCCTTGCCTCAATTATGAGGGTACTTTCATAAAATTATTGTTAGCACCATGCTTCATGCAATTAGTTTTCTAATTCGAGCCCGCGTGAGTGTAGCTCAACTAACTCCGGAGATGATAAGTTAGTGCAAGTTTTCTAATTCGGTCAGCGCGTTCAACTTACTCCAGATTTGATGACCGCTAAACACATTATATATTACAATAATACATGATTATGATTATTAAAAGATACTGCTTAGTGCTAATAAAATAGATCGAAGTGATTATAACGTCAATTATATTTTATTTACTTTTCTGAAAGATTTGTATGTACATATTTTAATGTGACTGCCAGTTAGAAATATGCATGTATCGTGCATTGCATCGCACATATAAATTTATTAAGGCTACGGCTATTTGCATTTATAATTTCAATAAGTGTAAGATTAAATTAAGTTTTTTAATGTATAAATATTATTATATTTTTACATGTTAATACCTTTGGTAGGAGGCATTTTTTGGGTGATGAGTCATTGGTCTAAAATTCGTAGCATTTCATAGCTATGGCTTCTCTCTCTATCACTCGATCTCTTAGTGTTTGTTAATTTTTGAGTATTTTGATGTTTCTCCAATTTTTGTTGATTTGCACTAAAATATTTTTTTTGTTTTGATTTTGCAATTGCAACTTAATGAAAGTCATTGATCCTCTCCTTAAAGGTGTCAAAAAATTTGGTTCAAGTTACATTGTTCAACATAATGTATACATTATTGTACATTACTACACATTACTTAGTACATATGCATATATTTGTGTATTTTCAATTTGTTTTTTATTGGTTATGAGGTGATTTATAATATAAATATTGAATTTTTAAATTTTTGTTGTTAGAGTTTATAAATTTCTTTTGTATAAGTCAGTATTTGTGTGTGTATATATTGATCGACTAAAAATATAGGTACAAAAATAATAATAATAACTACGAATGACTATAATTTACTATAGTTACATGTACTTATTTTCAGTACATAAACATATTGTTTTAAAAAAATATTAGTAAAAAATATATAAATAAAAAATAATAAAATAAACAAATAGGTTTTTAAAAAAAATAAAAAAAAATATACAAAGAAATAAATCATCGAAAATGCTAAATGCAAAACCAGAAATGCTGAATGCAGTTTTGTCGAAAATTTCATATAAGAGCAGTGCAGTACTTTCGCCTCTTTAAGAGGTTATGTCAAATGATGATTTTGATTTGGATTTATCCCTGGTTTATTAGACATGTGGTGTATATAAAATAAGCCCAATAAATAATTGGAAATTTAACATTTCAAATAAGGACGACTTTGTCAAATAATTTACCAATAGGAATGAGTAGCCATACGGCCCATAAATCATAATGAATACCAACATTATTAATTTATAGTAGTTGAACAAGTAAGTCTGATTTTATAAGATAAATAAATCTGGAAGTAGCAAAAAAGGGCAAAAAAATTCTGCTGCCCTTATTAAAAAAAAAAAGAGAAGGTTTATTACATGTTAATATGTTATTGATACTAACAAAAGAAAAACATTACTCCCTCCTTCCCATTTTATTTGTCGTTTTGAGCTCATGCACACGTATTAAGAAAATCAATAAATGTGCATGGATTCTACAAAAATCATAATAAAATGACTAAAAAACCACTCTTATTTATTGCTCCATCATTAATTCTTTTAATAGTAGCAAGGGCAAATTTGAGAAAACACAATAAATGTGTCATTGAAATTGTAAAGTGACAATTATTTTGAAATAAAAAAATATCTCTAGAAAGACAAATAAAATGGGAAGGATGGAGTATAACGCAATTTATTTAGCAATTTGATGTAACATAAATAAGTACTAAATTAAAGACGAGAAATCTAACTAAAAATAAAATAGGAATATAATATTCATAAATTTCAATGAATTTCCTTTTTGACCAAGACTGCTGTTTTGCTTACTCGTTCAATGAAAACAAGATGTAGAGACCGAGTGTAAAATCAAGAAAATAGATGGGACCAATGAGCAAAAACCAAGAAAATATATTTAATTAATTGGCTATATAATAATACAATATAACATAGGGAAAAGTCTTTGGGTATGAATTTCGTAGCTGCTTCCAAATAATGTGAAGCCAATTCCTTATTTCCAAGTAGGACTTTCTTCCATAGACTAATTCCACACATATACAAAGAAGGAAGAAGATGCTGTTGTTGTAGTCAAATCATTAATAATAATATCTCAAATCAAAATATTGTTCACCTACAAACAAACATCACATACTTTTCTTCTTCTTTCCCTTCACTTAATACCATTTATCTATAAAACCTCACACAAACCAAACTTTTGGATTCAAATCATTTTGATCAAAACATATAACTTAATTCACAACTACAAGAAGAAGATGGACAAGTTTTTCAAGATTGTCATGTTTGCATTCTTCTTGATCATATCTCTCTTCACTCCATCTTCTTATGGCCAGAGGAGCTGCTCGAACTACACATTCACCAACAACAACATCTACACTACATGCAACGATCTTCCGGTACTAAACTCGTTTCTTCACTGGAACTACCATCAAACCAATCGCACGATCGATATCGCATACCGGCACACATCGATCACGCCTTCCAATTGGGTTGTTTGGTCTCTAAACCCAAACGCAAGAGCGATGGTCGGTGCACAATGTTTAGTTGCCTTACACAACTCAAGTGGCCTCGTCCATGCTTACACCTCTCCAATCTCCAACTACGAAACTACCCTTCAAGAGGGCCCTTTGAGCTTCAGGGTTCCGAGGATCGCCGCTGAATTCTCGGGAGGCCAGATGACTATATACGCCACCATCGAACTTCCATCCGGCAGCAGCACCAGCTTTACTCAAGTTTGGCAACACGGTGATCTCTCCGGCAACACCCCTGTCATACACCCTAGAGATGCAGGGCATTTGGCATCTTTTGGGACAATTGATTTCGCTTCTGGACTCACCGTAGACACCGGAGCAGCCACCGGAGGATCAAGAAACCGCAAAAGAAATGTATGTTTTGTTTTTTCATAATAAATATGTTTTGATCATTAATATTTTGGGTAAAATTAATTAAATTCTTCTAATTTTCATTTAGGTCCATGGAGTGCTGAATGTAGTGAGTTGGGGTATTTTGATGCCTATTGGTGCAATGTTGGCGAGGTATTTGAAGGTGTTCAAATCCGCAAATCCAGCGTGGTTTTACCTGCACGTGGCATGCCAAGTATCGGCCTACATAGTTGGGGTTGCCGGTTGGGGCACTGGCCTCAAACTCGGCAGTGATTCTCCCGGAATCGAACAAACCACCCACAGGAACATCGGCATCACCATGTTCACGTTAGCAACACTTCAGGTATATAATCACCCTCCATTGTCCATTCATAACAAACAAGATACAAATATGTATAGAGGTTTCAATTCTTACATCGTTCATTCTTATTTTTGTCGTCCAGGTGTTTGCGTTGCTTTTGAGGCCAAAGCCGGATCATAAATACAGAATGTATTGGAACATGTACCATTACGCTATAGGATACAGCGTGATCATATTGAGCATAATCAACATCTTTGAGGGATTGGACATACTGGACCCTGAGAAGAAATGGAAAAACGCATACATTGGTGTTCTCATATTCCTCGGAGCCACTGCTCTTGTCTTGGAAGCATTCACATGGTTTGTCGTCCTCAAGAGAAAAGGCAATTCGGCCTCTGATAAATATCCACACTCGGTTGCCAATGGAACCAACGGAGGGGTTGCCAATGGAATCAATGGAGGAGGGTCTAATGGTTATGATGTTTAGATAATTTACTACAAATATTTCATTTTGATTATTTATTATTTCTCTTGTGTTGTTAGTTAGTACTGCTATTGTTTTGTAATAGCAAGAGAGAGTAGATAGATTGCTATATGTATGTATGTATGTATGTATAAATATTCACATGGGTGGGTATTGTGATGTATACTTGAGATATATTCAATTCCAGTTTGATTATTATTTTTTAGTACGGTTACGTTTTACTTTTCTAGAGAATTTTATTACCTATGCCTAAGTCCATCACTGGTACACCAATTTCATGGCTGCTTTAGAGAAATATCTTCCGCTTCTAGAAGTAGCAGTGATGTGAACTTTCTAAACCAACGAACCCCTATCCAAATCAGTGAATGCATATATACGAATTAGTCAAGAAATTCATTCTATTTAACGTATACTTGCATTAATTACATTTTTGGATGCTGTTGTTCATGTGATGATATTCTGCAATTGTTACATATGAGTTCGTTAATCGTATTCCTGATCACATATATTTGATACAAGCGAGAGTACACACAGACAAGTCGTTTGACGGATTAATATTTATGCATATATGGTAGCAGTTATCTATCGACGAGCCTTAATCTCTCTTGGATGATCTCCCTCTACCAAACAAACTTATCCTTTGTAGTACCTTTAGTAATCTATTCACATATTTCCTCTGTGAAGCAAAATTCGCAGTCCCTATGCAACTTGTACTAACTTGTCCCCCACCATTTTTCTTCTTGCTCAGTCTTCTTTCCTCCACGCTATGTGCTCTAATGTTTCCCGAAACCGGCTCGATTTTCTTCCAACTACTTTTGTCATTCTTGTTTGATTTTTTTTGCGACTGAAGTCTTCTCTTCAACGACAAGACTTCCTTCTCAAGAGTCTGAATTCTGAAACTCGCAGACTCATAATCTTTCATCGAGATATCGGAACTCATAATCAACTGATCGTGAGGCCTAATTAGCATAGATGAATCTTTGTTCATGAAGAAGCTAAGTGGCCTGCTCCCTCCTTCACTTCCATTCATATACGGACTATCACCTATATTTTGGCTTTGGGAGTTTGCATATATTGAGCTCGAGAGGCTTCCAGAACATTCTCCACCATTTGTATACCTAAACGAGTCTGAGCATTCTTTCAAATCCTTTTGAGTGTTCAATTGCTGCACAAAAAGCGCCTGAACTATCAGTCTCAACGGCATCATCTTGTTTTGAACGGCTTCAATGCAAACATGTTGTGATAGTTTCTGGCAGTTTAGATGCTTGCACACCAACCCTTTCTCTTCCTGGGATAAATTCGGGTGTGACTGCAAATCGAAAAAAAAAAAAAAAAAAAAACTCAAGTATGGGTTTTAAGGTACAATAAAATTGGAAAAGAAAAAAATGACAAGAGTCTACCTGGAAGAAAGTGTTTAATGCTCTGTAGAGATGATCATGTGTTTGCCTAACGGAAATCGGAACTGTTTCGATGAGATTGATGAATCTCTTGCAACTCAAATCTGAATTTATTGCTATCTGATTTAGATATTCGTCCCATAGTTGTGCAACAACAAAGTTGTTTCTTATAGTAGGAGTAGAATCTGAATCCAAGTTATTATTATTATTATTACAGGACAAATACGTCGAAAATATAGTCTCCATTATGGACAACTTAGTGCCATCCTCGTCATTTGGTAGGATAAAATCTTGTACCCGAGCCAAATGCAGCACGGAGACTATCTGATTCTGCAGCTTTGCCACACACTCATTTTTCAGACAAAGATCAACAGAAGTAGAGAGCAAAGAGAAGTAAAAACCGATCGGGATCACTTTACTTGCGACAGGCAGCAAATCAATAACCCCTTGCAGCTTAACACTCGTGACATTTCTCAATGAATCGTCGAAAGTCCCCTCGTGACTTCGGTTGTTTCTGGAGATCAGGTATTTGTGTGCATAGAAAAGTATTATGGGGCTCACATATCTCTCCTTCATACCTTGTCGTCTCAAAGATCCAATTACCCTCTTAAAGAATGAAAACGGAAGAGCAATAAGGTCTTTAATCCACAAATCTCGGCTAATAATTTCTTTAATCACCGTTTGATCGGACCAATTAGGCATACAAGACAAAGACTCCAATGTAATAACAGGGTGATCCCTTCTCCTTTCGGGATCGAGAATCTCCATGCAAGCCATGAAAGCAAGTGTCTCGATGCATCGGCTCACGATGAGAACATCTTCGGACCAAGGGAGCAGTGTTTGGCAGCTTTGGAGCACAATTAAGGTGTCGTTCCAGCTTTGGAGTACAACTTGGTTCAGATATACGTCGAAGCGGTCGCATAGGTTTCCGGGCATGTATTCTTCTGTCATGTCGAGAAACTGCGCTGCGCATCTTAGCGACGACACGTTGAATGGATCTACTAATGTCGACGAACCATAGATGAATAGTGCTATGGTCTCGAAGGTTTCTGGCCCACCTGGGAAATCGGGAGGCAACTCCACCTCGTTCGATTCCTTTAGCTTTTCTTTCAAGTACCCGCTCTTACGAGTCAATGGATACTGCAATAAAAATTTATGCAACACTATATATATATCAGATCCAATCATATTTTATATTTCATACAGTGTATGATTGATTCATTAGTTAATTACCTTGTGTAGGTTGAAGGTTCTATCGGCAATACGAACACGAATGCAGACGGGACTGCCGGTTTCTTGGCTCCTGTACGTTGAGGTAACAACCATATTATATATGTGAATGTGATCAGAGAAATTATGAATTGAAAAAAATAATGAATTAATTGAAAGCTAACCATGAAAGAATCTTGATTTGAAGTAAGGCACCAACATTTGGAGATGACAATAATGAACTCCTCCTCATAATTACTATCTTTTTTTCATAACAGCATATTTCAGATAGATTTTGCTCAACTATAAGTATATTATGGTCATACCTTTATCTTTCATTTAATTAAAATGCATTTATGGGGATTAATGTGTGAAACTACTAATCTCAAGATTTCGTACCGAAATCAGAGGGTATTAAAATAAAATGTGCTCTTTTGCAGAAATTCATGACTTTTATTTTTATCAATTGTTACACGAGCGGAACTCGAAATCCCAGTTTTAAGGCTTACAAAACGTTCTTGGTTTTTGAAAACTTGTTACTTACATCTTAATATGTTATTTTTCTTTTCTTTTTATCACCCAATTTTCTTTACTTTTTTTTTTTGGGTCAAACAGTGTGTATTTGACAATAATAAATGTGTGACTAAACTTAATTATACAAAGAATTTTCAAGTCAAAATGTATAAATTATTGTACAGACTACAGATCCCCTCTAAACTTGTACCAAATTCCTCTCTACTGAGAAAACAAACTTATACACAATCCCATATATTTCTTTTTTTCTAAACTCCTCTTATAAATTAGAAATAGAAAGAAAAATTCCAAAATAAAATAAAAATAAAGAAAAGAAAAAATGGTGCATACACTTGAGAAGAGAATATAAAATGAAAGAATAGATGGGGCATAGATTGATGAAAAATATTAAAATAATGCATTTGGAATGTAAATTTAGAAAGAAGAGAGATGAATTGCGGAGCAAGTTATATTACTACTTAGTCTTCTAAGCCTAACGCCCAAAACGGCACGGCTTCTTCAAAATTCCCACACATCGATCTTGTTCATTTTTTTCAACTGTTATTTATGTTTACAAATATTAATATAATAATGATCATGTAAAATGTGTTTTGTATATGTATATAGGGTAAATTACAAACACCCCTGAGGTATGGTCAAATTACAAAAACACCCCTCTTGTTTGGATAATTACAACCACCCCTCAGCTCTTCAAATTTAGTGGAATCTTCGAGATTATATGAAATATTATCACTTTTGTACCCGTTTTATATCATTCAAACTCTACATTATGAAGTAAGATGATCATAATATGCGTTTTTTAGCTTGTATATATCAGTTTGTAGTGCATCGGAAACTGTATTTTTACACAAAACGAATACAAACTAGAGCACATTCCACGGAATCTAGATGATTATATTGAATTTGGCACAATAAGGGTGGAGGTGTAAGAAAAAATCATAGTTGAGGAGGGTAGATGTAATTATCCAAACAAGAGGGGGTTTTTTGTAATTTGACCATACCTCAGGGGGGTGTTTGTAATTTACCCTATGTATATATACACATACATATTTTAATTTTTTTGTGTTTGTATTTTGATTTTAATAACTGAAACCACAAATACCGGACGACTTTCAGTAAACGCAATATATTTTTAATGCTGACTTTTAATCCCTTGCACCGCTTTATCATTCTTCTAAGTTTCTAACCCCAAATTTTAAACAAAAATCATGTAATTATTTCACTCTTATACATTTAAACTTTACATGCAGTGTTGTTTAAATTTGAAATTTGAATTAGTATTTTTTACTTTTCCAATTTAATTGAGACAATCTTCAAAATTCAAAAGTTGTCTACATATATTAAAAAATAGGGGTTTCTACTCAAAGTGTAGGAGTTTTTGGGTGGATTTTGTTTGGATGAAAGCAAAATTAGTCAAAAAAATGACTTAGGAAACTGCCTAAAAATCACAGATTTCAAGAAAAAATTACCTCATTTTAAATTGTATTATCCTCTAAATTCGATAAACTCATGTCTTAATAATTAATGGTGCAAAATTATTTTATAGTACCTTGAAATTTTGTAGGAAAAGGGTTTGAAAGAATAAGATGTTCTGAAAGTTGGATTTTTATTTTTTAGCGTGTGTACTCATCAAATATCTGTTTTAATAGTCATAAAATGATTGTATAACATTTATCTCATTAGAGGGTATTTGGCTAAGGTTATAAGATATTAAAAGGAACTTATAATATGTTTTAGAGTTTATAAGCTCTTTCAAAGTGTTTGGTAAATATTTAAAAAAAGATCTTATTTTTTCTAAAAATAAGCTGTTGGAGAGCAAATAAGATCTTTTTAAAATAGTACATCTATCCCACATTTTTATATAAGATATTATAATTAGTGAAAATAGATAATAAGCTTATTATCCAAACACTCTAAAAAATAATCCGACAAAAAAGATGTAACAACTTATTATTAGCTCTTAAAATATCTTATCAGACTTAACAGTTTATCAACTGTTAAAATTAAGTTTAACCAAACACCCTCTAAATATGTTTTAAACAACACTGAAATAATTATTTTTCAATAGCATGAAATATTCAATATTGATATACCAAAGTGACGTACTTGGACTAGAAGCATAGTGAAGCCCAAAACTTACAATTATAAGTATGAGTTACAACTATTAACCAAAGTCTAAAGATTAAATTAATCGAGCATATAAATAGTTGAATTATTATTACAGGCAATTTTTAATTATCATTTGGCTGTAAAATATTTTGCTTACATTCTCTCAATATTTTCCTCTCGAATGTGGACTGATTTAAGCACTAGGGATTTTTCCTGAAACCAAGCCTCGATGCCCTAGTGTGTGCCTTTTTAATTACGGATCTAAACTGCCGGACACTTCTAGAAGGTAAAAAATCCCCATATCCAATACCTCGACAATCGGACACGCCCAAACACGGTTCGAACACCCGTATCAGACAGTGTCCGCAATTTTAAAAAAGTTGGGACACAGCTCACTTATGTTTTAAGAGAAAACTCTAATAAAAAAATATACATTATTTTCTCTATAATATACAATTTCTCTGTCTTCTTTGAAAGTCCACCCAAAAGTCCAAAACTCTAGCGGCAACGGCGACTGGAAACACGAGCAGCAAGGGCGGGCAGTTCTGTTATGCGATTTGGCAACTTATATGTTTACACAATTTATAAATGTACCCTTATATTTTTTATAATTTATAAATATACTCTTATATTTTTAATATTTACGCATATCCCCGCATGTCCGTATCCTAGTTTTTTGGAAATACCGTATCCCGTATTTGTATACGCGTATCACCCGTATCCGTGCCTGTGCTTCATAGTTCTCCCAATTGGAGAAGATTATGGAAGAATTATTTGGGTTGGTGAATATCCAATGCTATTAACATTTATCGAAATGCTGACGTCATTCTCCTAGTACATACACATTACCCAAAAGTATTTCTCTCGAATTTCATCATCCAGGAACTTGTACAGATTGTTAACATTCATTCAGCAAATGAATTCGTACAAGAAATTTGAGATCCGGAAGAGGGATCCGGACCCGAAATCCGTGGCTTTGTTGGTGATCGACATCCAGAATCACTTCGAATCCATAACCCGCCCCATTTTACCTGCCCTCAACTCCACAATCGACCTCTGCCGACGCTCTTCTGTGCCGGTATTGTTCACGCGCCACTGCCACAAGTCCCCCGCCGACAACTCCATGCTCTACGAGTGGTGGAACGGCGAAATCATCATCGACGGCACCCCCGATTCCCAACTCATCCCCGATTTGCACCGATCAGACTCTGATTCCGTCATCCTAAAGAACACTTACAGTGCTTTCAGAGGTACGTATATTTACCATTATCACTCACCCAATTTCAAATTTGTTTTTCTTTTTTCATTTATAAAATGTTCCTTTTTTGTCATCTTTACGAATTCAATCCAGAAAATTAGTAAAGAAGGGGATTTAATTCATCTTGTTCGGATCAAAGGAAGCTAATATCGTACGTTCATCATGGACGCAGAGCATTTGAATATCGATAGATGTATTAATATTCTTTCTTTTTTTTTTTTTCCAAACAGAAAGTTATAACAAGTGATAGAAAATTATAGGAGTTGTATAGATGTATGTTACAAGAATCACAAGTGGTCAGTTCTAGAGAAAGTTTTGGTTAGACTTAGATCACGACACAAAACACGAGACGAGACGAAAAACTTATCAAAATATTCAAACACCATGAAATTGCTTTTCGAGGCTCACAATTTGACCAAATCATCATTATCAGCAGCTGCATGTATCTCCATGTGGTAAAACCCCTTGATAATTGATATTGACGCGATCCATTGTCTCCACTAGTATAGTTTAATATCCCCGTTGTTCCTTCTCTTTCCTGGATAAACACGAAGAAAAATATATGTATTTATAAATTTTTTAGATGCTGAATATCTGTATCATACTAGTATTTAGCAGTCATTGTAAGGACTATCTTCACTTTGTCATGTTCGGCAAATTAATTAGTTTACCGTTCGTACATTGCTCCTACGAGATCTGAATTACTTGGAAACCGGAAGTTGAGAGAAATTAAAAATGTGTGACATAAACTTTTGGTTTACTATATGTAAACAATACTCTCTCTCTCTCTCTCTCTCTCTCTCTCTCTGGGAACGATTTATGTCTTTTTTTTTGTAGCAATTTCTCACATTCTTGCTCTTCGATATAGTTCTCAATTCATCAATTGAACCATGTATGATGTTGTCTACGATCTTTATTAATATAACAAATCGGCTTTTACTAGCTTCTTGAAAAAAAAACACCAATTTGTTTGTGTTATATATATATATATTGTTGTATAATCTCTCTCAAAAAATGCAGAGACGGGTTTAGAAGAGAGGCTGAAAGAGATGGGAGTGGAGGAGGTTATAGTGAGCGGGGTGATGACCAACTTGTGTTGTGAGACGACAGCTAGAGATGCATTTGTTAGAGGTTTCAGAGTTTTCTTCTCAACCGATGCAACCGCAACCTCATCATCCGAATTACACGAGGCCACTCTTAAGAACATGGCTTTTGGTTTTGCCTATTTGGTTGATTGCAATACCCTCCAACACTCGTTTTCCAAATCTAATAATTAGATCATGTCTTAGTTTTTACTACCACTTGTTTGATCAAAAAATAAATTTTGGACAAGCTTCTGCTATGATATATATGAATGATGATTATGTTTTCTAATTTACTAGATTAATCATAGAGTATGTAAATTGAAGAGTTAATTAACATTTTGAAATATAGTAAAGTATGTTCCTTACTTCCTTCTTTGTCAAATACATTCTATGCATGCACCAATTCATTTACTGTGTTTCTAAAGTTAAATGTGGATGACATAGGTTGATGTATAGTGATGCTTAATTAGTTATTTATGTATTTTTATAAGACAGTAATTTAAAATGACATAAAAAGAATTAAAACATATATATATATATATATATATATATATATATATATATATATATATATATATATATAGGTTGAACCCGTGGAACCGGTATTTTTTGGGTTTGATACCCATTATTATGGTTTTAAAAACATTAGCGCGTGTGGATGGATATATGTGTATATATTTGGTAAATAAATAATATATATGGCATCTCCCATAAATAATATTAATCTTTACATTTAAATGAAGAGCATAATATATGCATATTCAGTTACAAAATTTACAAATGTTGCATAACAAGGAAAGAAAGCAACAGATACACGAATGGTAACTCCTCAATGGAATCTAATTTTATGGCCCTAAACAAATATTAGAACACAATTATTATTCTGATAAACCCAATTTCCAACAGAACATGTGATATTAATTTGACTTAATTCCATATACTATCGTAGCATATATCCATCCTCAAAAGGATTGCGTTTAGTAACTCCTCTTTTGTTAAAGATTTGATTATGATTCAATTCGATCATAAATTTTGAAAAACTAAAAATGAACAGGATTTTTTGTAACTGAACTCAATCAATGTTATAGATTTTATAGACATAATTAGCTGATGATTTTGGCTCAATATAGATCAACTAAGAATACATATCTATAGACTATATATACGTAGAAACTCTGTCTTCCTTTCTTGTCTCATATATTTCATTATAAACAAATTAAGTTTAAAGTAGCTAGTAGTGAAAATGTACAACATGGATTCAAATAATTGTGTCATCTGTCCGTTGATGTTTCTAATTTTGATCATGGTCGTGTTTATTTGCAAGGTTGATGATGTCTGTGCACAAACTAACAATTTCATCGTCACTGATTTTGGTGCCATCCCGAATGGGAAAACAGATAGCAAAGAGGTAAAAAATCTAAATTTATCAAAGTATTCTTACTTTTTGTTGAAGTTTTAGTAATGTTATATGACGTTGTTTTACGATGACGACGTACGATGATCGATGGCCCAGGGTTTTCTGGAAGCATGGAAGAGAGCTTGTGAAATTGATGGAGGCATAGTTTCGGTCCCATTCGGATCATTTTTTATTAGCAGCGCAGACTTTAAAGGGCCATGCAACGGCCAAACACTATTTCGCGTAGACGGTACATTAATAGCTTCGGATGATAGTACGCTTGGTAATCAAGACTATTGGATCACATTTTACAAGGTGGATCTCTTAAAACTTTCCGGTAACGGCGCCTTTGATGGCAACGGTGCCTCTTCTTGGTCCCACTGCGAAGGTCACAAAAAGTGCCGCAATATGCCCCCCTCCGTAAGTTTACTAACAATTACGTCAAGATCAACTTTGTTTATTAATTATAGTATAAATTTGTTGTCATCAATTAATTAATTATTTGAAAAAAACGTAACTATAGACGTTGAAGATAAACTACGTGAAGAATGCGAGGATACAAGGCATAAAGTTGATAAACAGCAAGATGTTCCACGTACACATCCACGAATCGGACAATGTGGTTGTGAAACAGGTAAATATATTGGCTCCAGAAGACAGCCCCAACACAGACGGAATCCACATTGGAAATTCCAACGGCGTACGAATAATGGACTCTTATATAGCCACAGGAGACGACTGTGTGTCTATGGGAGAAGGGTCAACAAATGTCAACATAACGGGGACTTGGTGCGGGCCCGGCCATGGGATTAGCATCGGAAGCTTAGGGAAGTACAAGGAAGAAAAAGATGTCTTTGGAATTACTGTCAGGAACTGCACGTTTAACGGGACGGACAATGGGCTGAGGATAAAAACATGGGCTCCTTCTTCATCGAGCACTCGTGTCTCAGATGTTACGTTTTCAGACATTATTATTAACGAAGTAAAGAATCCAATAATCATCGATCAATACTATTGTCCACATGGATCTTGCAACTCTAACGGAGAGTCGACCGTTGAGATAAAAGGTGTCAAGTTCTTCGATATAAAGGGAAGCTCAACTACAGAAACTGCAGTAAACATAAAATGCAGCAAAACTAAGCCATGCCAAGACATAGAATTCTCGGGTCTCGACCTCACTTTAACGAATGGACAGCCGACAATTGCTTCTTGCTCCAATACTAAAGGTGAAACCTTTCATGGATCTGATCAAGTTCCTTCCCAGTGTTCCTAATTCAAGATTAATTAGTTTAGTTACATAGGAATCGTTTGGTCGGGCAGATTAGTCGTTATTAACTAAAAAATTGGACTTTATTTGATGTTCGTTATTCCCAGTAACTTGTTGGGTTGACCCGCAAATATTATGTTATGTTATCATAGCTTATCTTGACTTCTAAGCATGTTTTTTATTAGATTTTCCAAGGTATACTAGGTACTAACTTGCAACTACCTATCAGGAAGCATACATTCATCTAAAATTATGATGGACAGTACAAACTTATGTCAATTAAATTTATTTCTTCAAAAACATACTTTACAAACATTAATATTTTATATCTCAGAAATTTTCTGCAATACCTATTATATATCATGACATATCACTCATTTAATCATTTTAATTATGATTATGGTTATTTAGATAAAATATGTTCGTGTCACAATTGGTACATTTATAAGATATTGATGATGCTAATTACTTAGATCACCTGGGGTAGTGTAGAAAACGAACTAGGAGAGCAAAGCGGATCAGTAGCTCGACAACTTGATGATCCTGAGGTACCTGCGATCATAGAACACATGAACTAAGCCGGGTGTTGATCCGGCGGAAACCCCTCCGACGCTCAAGTCAAACGTGCTGATCATAGAAATAGTCCATAGAATACATTTGATAGTATTGCTCAGATAATAAGACATACCTTGAGAAATGAGTTCAAACCTTTATTTATAGCTTAAATGAGATTGTTGGGCCCAAACCTTATTTGAAGGTGATTGGGCCTCGGTGATTGTGGTCTTCGATATTGGGCTCGTGGCCCAGTATGTAAGGAAATAGTAGGCCCATTGGGTCGGCCCAATTAGGCATATCAGATATATATATATATCTATATATCTACCACTAATCATGTGGTTGATATTGCCTCTCCCATAGTCCCATTATTGTAGTGGGGATGTATTTTTGTGCTTATTGATATATAACACGTAGAATTATTTTCTTAACAATTAAAGTAAATACATGGGTACTAAATGCAATAAACGGTCCAACATGCAAATGAAATAGAAGGGTGTTTTTCTCAAATGGTGGCTTAAAGATCTCCTCTTTCAGATTTCTTCAATAATTCTCTCTCTCTCTCTCTCTCTCATGTCTTTTCGTAATAATTTCTCTGTTCAAAGTTTGTATAAATACATTAATTTATCGATTGAAGTGATATAAATTAATCTAAACTTACATACGGATTCAGACATGATCCGAAACCCGTCTTCAATTCTAGTAGTAGAAGATCTTTAGTTGTTGAATTCGGAAAATGGGGGAACCTCCGCTAACCCCTTCACAATAGAGGTTTTTCCTCCTAGACGATGGGAATATCCAACTAACGACTTGCACATTTTCAAACTAGACGACTGATGGGGTTTAAATTAGCCACATACAAAATAATATAAGTTTTATAGCTTTTGTTATGTTCAATAGATTGTTTAGATCTTATCATTAGTTTGAATATTCATACATTTGAGTGCTTATGAGATCACAGAGTAATGTGGATAAGAAAGATTATTAAATAACATATGAAGATAATGTGCCTAAGATAATATGGGTGGTCCAATTTATTGAATTCCCTTTTTTATTCTAGAACTGTCTCTCTTTTCTCTATACATGACCTAGTATATATATACTACTACAATATGGGGCTTTTTGGGTTTGTTTACATTTCCAAAATAGAAAAGCCGTCATCCTGTCTATTCGGCCACATGGCGAGTTCTTATTGGCTCTTTTCATTGTTCCTCAATCAGTTCAAGCCTGCCACCCATCCTTTACGTCCCAGAATTGTCCCCAGCTCCACTTTCGAGATGCCGACGTACTGTCGACGTAATGCTTACTTCGTCAGGCGTGGGATTACCTTGGAATCCTATCTCGTAGGTTTTATACCTCGTTAATTACCATCTGCGGTCTATTATGATAGTTGTGGTATTGGGCTGCCTTGAACTTGACCTGGGCCCAAGTCGGGTCTGATCATCCGGGCTTCACTTAATTGGACTTGGGCTTTGACTCAAGGCCAAAATTAGTCCGGATCAACGACTTTTAACAACTCATCAACTATTAACGAGGGGTGATATTGCCCATTTGTGTTTTAGGAATACCATTTAAAATTTGTTGTTTGTTTTTTCTTCTACAACTTTAAAAGGATCCTATTTTTGTTATTTCACGTCCAAAACGGGCATGGAATAAACTGTGAAACGTCCTAAAAAATGCACTCAAGCTGGGGTTAAGAGCTCCGTCTTTTTCCTTTTCTCAAATAATTGTTTAAATTGTAGGTTAATAAATTAATACATTATTTGTTAACAATAAACTAATAATTGATTAGTAGTTATTGAGTTATTGACTAAAACATACAAACAAAGAACAAATTTAATCCATCCAAAACCCGAATTGGGTGTTCGCTGAGGGGGCTTTCATGCCAAGTTTGAGCTTGTGGGAAAGGGGTATAGACAAAAATGAAAAAGTGTAACGATAACATACTCATAAAAATGGAAAGCAAAATAGCCTACAATGCTGTGAAATCGTCTCCATCAGAATAAAATTACATAAACACAAGTGTTGCAGTAATTTTTTTATTCATCTGACAGCACAAATAGACGTCTACTCTGTGATTTTGAAAATCAATCTCAACATAGGATCGACAACCTATGATTTCTGAGCACCAGCTTCAACAGGATCAACGACAACCTCAGCCTCAATCGTCTCAGTGGGGTTTACCTGCTGCTGCTGCTGCTGCTGCTGCTGCTGAAATCCATCACTACCCCACTTTCCTACAAGAGCCATATTCATCATCTCGTATATCTTTCCTCCAAGCTGTGCTGGGCTCTCTGGCTGCAACCCACATTCATATATTATCAGTTACTACATCTAGTAGTACATACAACAAGGTCGAATGATGAATAGCTAGATAGTTTCACAAGACACCAATAAAGCATTTTATCACGCCACCAAATGAGTCTTGCCACAAATTCAGAGTCTAGTTTATATCCTTATAAGCTCGATTTATTTTCTAATTGTAAGGCAGAGAAGTGAGAAAGAAATACTCACAGTGAAACCGCTGGATATCAAAGCTGTGTCATACAAGAGATCAATGACCCTCAATGCTTCCTCGTCATTTGGACTACTCTTGCATGCAACCTGCAATTGCAATGTAAATTTACAAGAATGATGATGATGATATTTACAAAAACATTGACAACAAGTCCGTTTATTCATACATACATTTAAGGTTCTGATGATTGGATGCTCTGGATTGACTTCAAAAACTCTCCTACTTCTCATAAACTCAAGGCTGGAGGGATCGCCAACTGTTTGTGCTTTCATCAGCCTGCAATGGGTTCGTTTAAAACAGACACATGGATCGACAAAAAGATCTCATAGATGTAACATATACAAGTAGTAGACCTTACTATACTCTGCAAGGATCCATGAAATAAAAGTTTTCTCAACAAAAAAAAGGACAAAAAGGACTAGGCCTCAGTAAAAGGTCGAGAGCTCACCTTTCCATGTTAGCAGACCAACCAAACTTCCCAGAGGCAAGCACACAAGGTGATGTACTGAGACGATTCGAGACTTGAACACTTGCAACTTTATCACCTAAGCGTTTTTTGATCCAATCACATGTCTGTCCAAACTCTTGCTTCATCTCCTTTTCCTTCTCTTCATTCTTGTCACCTATAATAGTTACATTTTGATAAGACGTCAGGAACCCCATAATCAGCCATAGTCACATGTCATAGATCATAGAGAAGGCGCACTGAATGGGGACACATTAAGAAAGCACACGTGTATTAAATTAAATAGATCTTCAATAAGTCACAATATAAAACACAATAGAGAGGAGGGCTGAGGGGAGGTGAAACGTAATCCGTAAGTCCCAAGTTCAAACATCCATAAATTAGATGCAACCCAATGAAACATAATTATATTTTTTTTCTAAATTCAAACTGCTATAAATGCAGAAGTAGTTCCTCGCAGAGTTTCAGAGAATTAAACAGAAACAAGAAGGACACTGCCGAATTTAAATGAGAAGTTCTTCACAGACTAACCCAGATCTAAATCTTCTTTACTGATGTCAACAAAGTTCTTCTCCTTGTATGATTTCAGATTTTGGATGGCAACCTCATCTATAGGATCCACTAAGAACAAAACCTGGACACAGAATAATTGTGGTCATCAATCATTCTAGGAAGAAAAAATTACACGGACAGCAAACAACTCCGTGTCAACAGATGGAGAGTACCTCAATATCTTTCTCAACAAGCTTCTCCAAGAAGGGCGTATTCCTTGCACTAGTTACACTGTCTGATGCAATGTAATATATATCTTTCTGTTCAGTTTTCATGTTCTCAACATATTCATCCAAGCTGATCACATCCTCCTCGCTCTGAGATGAGAAAAATCGTAATAGTGGAGCAATGCGTTTGTGGTTCTCACGATCTTCAATGCAGCCTAACTTCATGTGTTTGCCAAAGTTCTCCCAAAACCTTGCATAGTCCTGTACAGAAACAGATATATGCGCGAAGTAGAGAAAATTAGTTGAGTAAAGCCAATATATTCACAAAGGCAAGTGAAACATTGTAGGTAATCTTCAGATGTTTGTGGCATTATAAACATCACATTGAACTAAGATAGCAACACAATCATATCAAAGAAACAACACAAATTCTTCCTACGAATGCCATGTAAGAGAATTCAAGAAGGAAGAACTCTACATCTCTATTCTCGCTCATAGTTATGCCCAGAATCATGTCGAAGGCCTTGCGCACCAAACGTTTCCTCATAATGCGCACCTAAAAGGCAGCAAATAGAAATAATCATTAAAATCATGCTGTCGCATAAGTTACACAGATGTATATTCATCCATAGCAAGAAGACCAATAATATAGTGTACTTACAATACGACTTTCTTGAAGGATTTCACGCGAGACATTCAATGGAAGATCATTAGAATCCACAACACCTTTAACGAAGCTCAAGTACCGTGGGAACTATTGAATACAGAAAAGAGTGAATGAATATTGGGTTTCTGGATTTTCTAATTATCAATCCTCGCCTAAAAACCTACAAGTTTCTCACCAATTCACCATCGAAGTCATCGGAAATGAATACACGTTTGACATAGAGCCTTATATTCTTTGTCTTGGGATTAACTATGTCATCCTTCCCTGTCGCTGCTATTGATGGCACATACAAAATAGACTTGAACTCCACTTCACCCTGCAACAACAAAATCGAATGGTTAGTTGACTAAACCAGCCAGAAAGAGTCTCTATTGCATTGGAGGTTTCTACAACTCTATAACTATTTTTTACTAAGTCCTGAATTCGCCAAAGTATGTTAGCAGTAAGTAAAACCCAAAAACATATGCAGGTAAGAAACAGTTATTGAACGGAAGCGTTTTAAACAACAAATAAGTTTTTGCTAATAGGGATCTGTTTAACCTCAGTAGAGAAGTGTGAAGAGGCAAGAGGTTCCAAATATTCATTAAAAGTCTTCTTGTAGAACTCATTGTAATCCTCCGTGGTGACTTCTTTCGAGTTCCGGAGCTGCATCAAACAGGAACCATTAAACTCTGAAGGAGAGCAGCTTTAACAAAGAAAAGTGTAAAATGGCATTTCATAGGCTCACCCATATAGGCTGAGTATCATTTGCAAGCTCCCAATCCCAATATCGTTCAACTACAGTCTTAGTCTTCTTCTTTTTCTGCTATATCAAACACATTATACAATTTTCAGTAATTGACAGGGACATATTTGTTATACTTAATGCATGGTAAAGTTTTAAAAACAGTACCTCAGTTTTCCCATCTTGTTCGTCCTTAATGGCTTCAGCAGGATCCTCATCAACATCAACCTGCAAAAGTGTAAATGTTATGAAGTACTTCTCAACTGGGCGTAATCAAGGTAGTTAAAATCCGAATCTCAAACTAATTAAATTGAAAAGGTAAAATCACATTGCAGTTTTACTGATTTTGACCCAATTTCCAAACAATTTTACCTGGTTTAGGATTTTACAACAATGTTACAATTTATGTGGTAGTCAATTTGTAAAATCCTACTATTTTATGATTTATTCCTGATTTACCTACATTGGGGGGAATAGCTGCCTACAACAAAGTATAATCTATCCTGATTGATCCTATTCCTTTGTACACGTGCTATAGGGTGTACACTAGGGTTCTGGCATTTACGGTTCTAAAATAATTTAACTGTCTAAAATTGTGATGAAGCATATTACATCTAAATTCATAAAATAAGATAAAAGCAGATAGAGTAGAAAGTGCTAGATCAAATCAATACAGGAGATTGGATTTTTTTTGTAGGCCTACCTCCTTAGTGTATCCCTTCTCTTGCCATGTGTAAATTGGGAAGGAGACGAACTGCGAGTAATTTGTCACAAGCTTCTGGATTTTTTCTGGATGTGCAAAACCTTTGTCATCACGCTATCACATGCACAAGAGAGGCATTACACAAGCTTAAATGTTCAGCACAGAATAAGACAAAACTAAAAACATTGTATTAGAGATGTGTTAATTAATGAACCTTAAGATGTAGAGTAAGACGAGTTCCTCTGGGAATGAGCTTAGCAGGATCAGTCTCCTCTCGGATGGTATAGGAACTGGAGTTTGCTTCACCTTCCCACACGTATTGTTTGTCAGATTTGGGGCTCTTTGTTGAGACCTCAACCTTTTAATGGAAGACGAAATAAGAATGACATGGTAACATAAGAAAAGAAGAAAAAAAAATAGGGAGTCAGTTTCATAGATACCCGCTCACAAACAAGGAACGCGGAATAGAATCCCACACCAAACTGACCAATCAAATTGCTATCAGTTCCAGCATCCTTGCTATCCTGTCAAACAAGACAGTATAAAACAGTAAATATCCTCCTTAAGAGATTAAAAAAAATGAACGTTGTGACTGTCAAAGATTAATATCATAAAAAGTTAGTATCACCGAAAAATTGCACCTTCAATGCTTTTAAAAATTTAGCAGTTCCACTTTGTGCAATAGTACCAAGACAGTCAACAATCTCGTTGTGCGTCATGCCGATTCCAGTATCTCTGTATGGTAAATCATATAACTCATAAAGACAGACCATATAGATTAAAGAAGTATTCATAGCTTATAAAACTTACGTAAGCGTGATTATTCCATTATCCTTGTCCGTCTGGATTCGGATGTCAAGATCATATGTATCCTTCAAGAGCTGGGGATCAGTAACACTGAGAAACCGTAGCTTGTCCAATGCATCACTTGCATTGCTGCACACAAGAACAAAGTTTCCAGACAATAAATAGAGTGTTAAGAAGTCGAAAGAACAAACAGAAAAGATGGAGGACTCATCAGCCACAGACATGTCAGAGAGTATTTTTAATATGAAGAAATGTTTTGCAGCGTAAAAAATTGAGAAACTTTAACAAACAGTACAATATTTATACGATAAATATTTACAGTAAGCAGTTTTAAAGTAGATATGATACAAATGCCAGTCATTAATGGTTTTCATGTAACAATTGCAGAAAATGAGCAGTAAGTGTACACGAGACAATAATTAACCTTTCAGCCTAAAAGTCTTCGGTGTTATAATTAATCCCTAAAATTGAAATCCTAATTCCTAAATGTCATTCACTTCTATTAACCTTTCATTCATATAGATGGTCCTCGCGGATCTTCACCTTTCTAGCAGAAACTAAGGAAACAATCGAAAGTCAGAATGCATTTCATAGACTCTTAGGTTACAACATACCAGAAACCTCCAGTTCTGTACAACTTGATATTGAAGCAAATGCTATGCAGATGAATATCTTTGCTCCTTTATTTGATTTTTAACATTATACAAAAACCATCCACACTTCCAGAATAAAATTACATCATGTAGTCATTAGACAAAATAATTAGACATATAGCAGATATTGTTCTACTAGCCAATACTAATTAGCTAATTGTCATTATGAATTATCAGAATTACAAACGAAGCACAACGGCAGTTAATTTCATCATTACACATGCATTAACAAACCTAATGCCATATCATATTAACCTCCCTAACAAAAATCAAAATTTAGGAGCATTTTCGATATCCATGCAGCTGTTTGACATAAAGACCTTCAAACTCTATTGCAATATCGATATCTACAAAGTTTTTTGATGTAAAAAATAATGCACCGTCAGCAATGACAGATCAATTCAGTCTATAGACTTATAAAATCCCCATATAATGCCAAAATAAAGGATCACATATTGATTGAAAGACATGCCTGATAAGCTCCCGAAGAAACACGTCCTTGTTGCTATATAAACTATTCACAATAAGGTCCATGAGACGGCTAACCTGCCACAAATAGCACAATACAAACATTTATCAGCAAAAGGTTAATATGACAATCTCTAAGGTATGATGTTCAGTTCAAATCTACCTCTGCTTGGTACTCGAACTTTTCAGCTGGAGGGGTTGAGGCATCAGATGCAGCAGCAGTTGACTCATAACGACGGCCCACAACAAGCCCACTTTTTAAGTTAAATGGCTTTATCACACCAATACCATTGCTGCCAGTTGCTAACACAGAGCACCATCTCTTTGTTGTATCACTCTCACCAGACTAGTCAACATGGAGGAATAGCAAAGTTATTCACAAGAAAGAATAACAGACACAAAGCTTGTATTTATTCATTAGGAAGCGGACAATGTCATCAAAGAACATTCTCATGACTGTCATTTTTGTATTTAGGTAATTAATTCACATTTCTACGCAGAAATATCTTCAATATTAAGAGGATATGATTACCGACATAAGACATCAAATCACACAACACACTAAACCCTAAACCTAAAATCATACACCCTAAACCTTAACAAAGCAAGGCATCTCCAAGTATTAAAGTACATTTGTAATTTTTTAATCGGTAAAAAAGAAGAAACACTCAAACACCATAACCCTTAAATATTTGATTTGATCAGGATAATAATTTGCTAACCAAAAAAAAAGGGAAAATAAAAAATAAAATAGCGTGCTTTCACATTTTTTTCTTCTCCATCTCTTTGCTGATGACAACTAACTTAACCAGAAGAAGTCAAATAGACCGTCTAAATACCCATTTTTTTTTCTTCAAATTATTATCAATTTCCAAAAGGCACAAAACACACGTTTCATTGAAAAAATGGAGCCGATCTTCGGTTAATTTCTCACTTCACCAATGAATCGAACTCACAAAACCAAACACAGATAAAACGAGAAGTAAATGAACGATGACGAAAACTGAAAAACAAAATCACGAAAATTTGAAAACAAACACAGAGGATGAAAAGGCTACCGGACGATGAATGAGTGTAAATGCGGAAGAGAGTGGTTGGTGTCGATTAGCTGCATCGCGGATGATAGCGGAGACGGAACGTCTCGACAGCCTGTGCATTTTCGGAGATTGATTTGTACGGGCAGAGAGAGAGAGAGAGAGAGAGAGAGACGAGAGAGATGATTGCAGGCTTTGAGTTGGGGCTTTCTGTATGCAAATGTAGGGTTTTAGAGAATATTTATGGGTTTAGAAGGTTCTGGAGCTCCGATGAATTTTGTTTTGCACCTTGTAATTCATATGGATTGTAAGTTTGCACCCTATAATTTTAGAATTATCAGAATTCACCCTCAAATTAAATCAAAATGACCATTTAATTTAAGAGAGTGTTTGGCTAAGCTTAAAAGATGTTTTAGAGCTTATAAGTTCTTCCAAAGTTTTTGGTAATTTTTTTAAAAAAGATCTTAATTTTTTTTTTTAAATAACTGTTGGAGAGCAAATAAGATCTTTTTAAATAAGTACATCTACCCCACCTTTTTATTAAGATCTTATAATGAGTAAAAATAGAAAATAAGCTTATTATCCAAACGCTCTAAAAATTAATTCTAAAAATAAGATGTAACAGCTTATCAGCTGATTAAAATAAACTTAGCCAAACACCCTCTAAATTTAATCAAATATATATCGTGATATATTAACAATAATTATAACATTTTTTTAATTTTATTTTTAAACTAATCGCATCTTTATATATTTTTTTCGGAATAAAAAAAAAAACAAGAGGAAAAATCACTTTCAAATTTAAAATTATAAGTATGATGAATGATTAATAAATAATTAAGAATAAAATATCCCACTAATTTATGTAAGCGGGGCCCACAGGCGACCTTCACATACTCTCCGATGGCGATATGTGAATGGATATAGAGAGCGCAACCAACTGGTTAGAGAGAGAGAGAGAGAGAGAGAGAGAGAGAGAGAGAGGAGAGAGAGCTGAGAGTAAACTTCCACCACAAAAATCCGCCCACATACTAAACAAACACACTCCTTGATTATGTTTGTTGCTCACAAAACCACGGTTATGGCGCTCTCTTTATCGTTATCGAAGCACTGTCTTCTCACGTTCCCACGGAATAAACTCTCCCATTTCTCCCCCAAATGCAATCTCAATTTGTTTTCAGTCTGCCCTTCTTTTGTTGATCATCGTTTTTCTCGCAAGGATGGACTGCGTAGGGCAAAATTCTCCGCCGTCGCTACTGAAGTTACGGAAATGCCCACTGCTCCGCCGCCCGGTGAAGGAAGAGATACCAATTCCGATTCCGATTCCGGAAAAATTGTCCTTCCTACCAATAAGTCTTCTGAGAAACTCCTCAGGATTCGTCACACGGTAATACTTCGAAATTAATTGTAAAAAAAATTCCTAATTAACTGTTTAGAAAACGTAAGAGCAGATGAAACTTGTGTATGTGGTGCCAGATTTGTGGCTTAGACCTTATGGGCAATCCGTAATCTGCACAAACTTACGAAAAATTATTGAACTTTTGAGTTAGTATAGCAAGTCTTTTTGTTAATTTGATTTACTGAGATGTCAATTTGTTCCTACAATCATACTTCTAATCTAATTAAGTAAAATGAGAGCCTTGAACTTTGAAATTCAATGTTAATGCTGCTTTTTACATTATGTCTTATTATTGTTCCGTATTTGCTTATCTAGTTGCATTAGCTTGTGAAGTGGTCCTGCGTAGTCAAAATGCAAATTTTGGATGATTGAGTTCTTATTGTATAGGATTTTAATCTTTCTTAACGAATGCAGTGTGCTCATGTGATGGCTATGGCTGTTCAAAAGATTTATCCGGATGCAAAAGTGACGATTGGTCCTTGGATTGAGAATGGCTTTTACTATGACTTTGATATGGAGCCTCTCACTGATAAGGACCTTAAGAAAATTAAAAAAGAAATGGTGAGCCGACTTTGTCTTCTTGTATTGTGATCATCAGTCCTTTTCTTTTCTTGTTATTCAACAACATTACGTGAGATAATGCTTTTTTTGGCTACAGAATTTATTTCTTGAATCATCTGTAGGATCGCATTATTGGTAAAAATTTGCCTTTAATCAGAGAAGAAGTTAGCAGAGATGAAGCCCATAAAAGGATAATTGATGTCAAGGAGCCTTACAAGATTGAGATTCTTGAGAGCATTAAAGAGGAGCCCATCACAATCTATCATATAGGTGAGGTCTGCTTCTTTCTTCTACGCCTAATAAACCTTTGCTTAGCTCGAATTGAGCTAAAAAACTTAAGAAAATGTTTTCTGAAAAGTCCTACTTACTATCGTTGTATTTGTCTTCCAGAATATATATTGTTTTAATTTTTTTCCCCTTGGTTGGAGTCCTTAACTTTCTGAACCCTGCATCTAGACATTAGGAAATCTTATTCTTCTGTTTTACTGTTGTTCTTTGTTATCTTCATAGGTAATGAATGGTGGGATCTTTGTGCTGGGCCTCATGTAGAATCTACTGGAAACATCAATAGAAAAGCTATTGAACTTGAGTCTGTCGCTGGGGCTTACTGGAGAGGAGACACAAATAAGCCAATGTTACAAAGGATATATGGCACAGCATGGGAGAATGAAGAACAACTGAAAGCTTATCTTCACTTTAAGGAGGAGGCCAAAAGGCGGGACCACCGTAGAATTGGTCAAGATCTCGATCTGTTTTCTATACAGGTACCATGTTCATGATTTTCATGTATATTCCTTGCTTCCTACTGTACATGGAGTAGTTCAAATTCTCTTCCTAAGTAACTAATATTCTTCAAACACAATTTGGGGGTGCTACGTGAAAAGCTTTTTTAAATTTTGGTCAGATTTTTTCTCGAGATGATAATGCTATGGAGACTCAGTAATAGATTTCATCATGCGAATATAATGGATATTGGAAAAACAAGTATATACTGTTGTTTCCATCAAAATTCAGGATTCACCTTTCTTTAAATGCTTCTATTCAGTCAATGGTGCTGCAACTTTTCAACCTTAAACGTAAATGGTAGCTTGTAAGTTGGATCATCAAACTAATATCTTGAAAACCCCTCTTATGAGATGAGGCCTTCTCCTCTGCAATCAGAAAAAAAAAATGAATTGTGTTTTTCAACTCCTTATAGCTAAATATTGGCATGATTAGCCTGTAAACCTCTATCGTCCTTCACTCCAGCCAAATTTCTTGTGGTTTCCATCATGCCCTGGCCTTTCCCCAACTACATCTTTAAAATGCTGGATTTGTTTATTTCTGCAAAGGACATCCATGTTACATTTTCAGCTTTGTAATAAAGATTAAACAAAGATGTCTATTCCATCCATTTCACTTGATGTGAATATTTCTTTTTAAACAGTCAACTATATTCTAGTCACACTAGATGTGATTTCATCCATTTTTCAACCAAATCAAAATGGTAGTTGCTATTGTAATTTTTTTGTTGAACGAATATGTATGTGTGGCGTTATTGCTCATTTAAGATTCCCTAGGTCTTATACCTGAAATGAAAATACGTGCAGGATGAGGCTGGTGGAGGGTTGGTTTTCTGGCATCCAAAGGGTGCTATTGTAAGACACATAATTGAAGATGCATGGAAAAAGATCCACATACAGCGTGGCTATGATTTACTCTATACTCCACATGTAGCAAAAGGAGATCTTTGGAAGATTAGTGGTCATCTCGACTTTTACAAAGAGAGTATGTTTGATCAGATGAAGATAGAGGAAGAACTTTATCAGCTCCGACCGATGAATTGCCCTTACCATATTTTGGTTTACAAACGGAAGCAGCATTCTTACAGGGATTTTCCAATCAGGGTTGCTGAGCTTGGAACAGTGTATAGATATGAGTTGTCTGGAAGTTTACATGGATTGTTCAGAGTAAGAGGATTTACCCAGGTATGTGTTTGTGTTTTGCTCATTGAATCTATATCTCTTAAAGTACGGAGTCTTAGATTGGCTTTTGGTCTTGGATTTATCGACATCAACAGATAATCTAATGGTATCATTGAAACTTCCACAATTGTCGCCTTGAAACCATTCAAGTTAATTTGAATTTTAAAGAATTCCATGCGATTTACTTTATTGTAAAATCGAGGTTCTTGTTACTTATGTATCAAAATTTAGATTTCCCATTCCATTAAAAGGCTCCCTGTAATATCTCAGTGTAATGCATTAATAAGAGTTCTCATCTCTGCGTATCTGTTAGAAAAATTTTAATTATGCTCCAGAGGCTTGTGTTAAGTTTACTCTGTGATGGTTTGGTTTTACAGGATGATGCCCACATATTCTGTTTAGATGATCAAATAAAAGACGAAATAAGGGGTGTGCTGGATCTTACGGAGGAAATATTGCTGCAATTTGGTTTTGACAAATATGAAGTAAACCTGTCAACAAGACCAGAGAAATCTGTGGGAGGTGATGATATATGGGATAAAGCAACATCTGCTCTAAAGGATGCCTTAGATGACAAAGGTTGGAATTATCAGATAGATGATGGCGGTGGCGCTTTTTATGGCCCCAAAATTGATTTAAAAATCGAGGATGCACTCGGAAGGAAGTGGCAATGCTCCACCATACAGGTATTGTTTGTTTCCGTGGACCGACCTAATGGAAAGAAACCACCACTGCAATGTTCATTTCTATTCTTCTTTTGGCAAATATATATAATTTTCTTTTTTGGTAGGTTGATTTTAATTTGCCTCAACGCTTTAACATCACTTACGTCGATTCGGATCAAGAGAAGAAGCGACCAATCATGATACATAGAGCAGTTCTTGGATCCTTAGAGCGCTTCTTTGGAGTTCTTATAGAGCATTATGCTGGAGATTTTCCATTATGGCTTTCTCCTATTCAAGCTCGTCTTTTACCAGTAACTGACATACAGGTAAAGAAAACATCCGATTATAGTGGGACTCCATTGTTTGTAGTAGTAGTAGTATATAACTTACTCGATCAACTGCATGTATATTTTGTGACGTAAGAATTAAGCTCACTGAAATAATTATGCAATTGCTACAGCTTGAGTACTGCAATGAGGTGTGCAAAAGATTGAAAGAAAATGGCATTAGAGCAGAAGTTTGCAGTGGAGAGAGGCTGCCAAAACTTATTAGGACAGCAGAGAAACTGAAGATTCCATTAATGGCGGTTGTGGGGCCCAAAGAGGTAGAAACACAAGCGTTAACAGTTAGATCGAGGTTTGGTGGAGAGTTGGGTACAATGTCAGTCGATGATTTTATCAGCAAAACAAAGCATGCAGTTGAAAACAAGGCCTTCATTTGATCCAATGATTTTATTCACTTCAATGGGGGAAATGGCTAACGAGACTCACTCACCACAAATCTAAATTTAAATAGCTATAAAGACAGCAACTTTTTTCTTTTTATTTGTTCTTAGTTATAAGTCCATATTTTGTCATTATGCAAACATGGAGGAGATTTTCGTAATTAGTCACGGGGCTCTCTTTGTCGACTGAGGCCGTTTGGTATACAAGTCCATTCACCAAATGATTCGGATTTGGCCCCAACTAAATATTTTTGTCTTTCTTAGAATCTCATTAATTGAAAAATCAAAAATCTATGATAGGCTTTTTACAAAATTACCCTTAATTTTTCAACTCAATTAAAATATCGAAAACATCTATTGACTTTGTTTATTGGGATAATTAGTGAAAACCCCCCAAAACCTTTGGGTATATTAGGGTGGATCTACACCCTTTTACATTATTAGTGAAACCCCACTTATTTATAAATTAAATTAAATATTTATTAAATTTCGATTTAATATACCTAGTTTGCCCTTTATGTAATATTATTTAATATTTGACCTATTCTCTTTTTCCCCTACACTCTCTCCACCGTCCCCTTCCTTTCCTCTCTCCCTGTTAATATCGTTCTCTTCGCCAAGAAACGCAACCTTCTCCCCGCCGAGGAACGCAACCTCCTCTTCGCCTACAAAAACATCACCAATCGAGCAGAACGAGGAGAGCCGCGAAGACGAGAGCCCCGTGTCCTCTATCACAACCTACAGATCCAAATCGAGGAGCTCTCCTCCAATTCCGGTGGCATCTTGAAGCTTTTCGATTCCAAGATCATCGGATTCGCCGCTTAGAGGTCTGTTTCCTTATCTATTTGTGTCCTTGTTTTTTTTGTTACATTTATTTGGAATATGAAGCTAATATACTATGTTGGTCTGTTGTGTATATGATTTAGTTAGTACAAAAAAATTGCAATTCATTCTGAAAGAAAAAACTGACAATAAAAAAATCGAAAAAGAGAAATATTTTTCTGGAAGAAGAAATATTTAAAACAAAGTTTTTTTTAAATAAATAAAAAATAAAAAAATAAATAAATAAATAAAAAATCATCAAAGTAGTGGATAAATGGGTAGTGAATAAAGGGAGGGTAAATTTGGAAATAAAAAAAGAATGGGTCCCTCACTAATAATGAAAAAGGGGTTGAACCCATCCTTATTAAAATAATGTTGGAGGGGGTTCTCACTAATACTCCCTTGTTTATTTTATTCATGCATGCGTTATCTTTGTTGTACATGGATTTACTACTCTTTACTTGTTGGAAAAGCATATGATTGATTCTTTGTTGCTTGCTTTGTCTTTTATTATTAACTGTCTTGTTTATGCTTCACAAAAACTACTACATTACTTATTAAAAACTCAACTTAATAAATAAAATAAAATATAAACCATTTCATACTATAAGTTGGTTTAATGTTCATCTTTTTTGCCGATCAGGGCCTTTGCTAATGATTCTATCTCAACATGGATTTAAAATTTTGAATTGTAATAAGCAAATAAAAGAAACGCTAAAGATATGATTTACGACGCAGCGTAGAAATTCAACACGACCATTTGAGCACGCGACACGACGGGCTTAAACCAAAAAGTAACATCATGCTAAAGAACTGATATACGACGCAGCGTAGATATCCAACACGACCATTCGAGCACCCGACACGGGCTTAAACCAAAAAGTAACATCAGAAGAGATACTCAAAACTCAAATTCGAAGAAACAAAAAGATTTACATACAAAAATTAATTACCCTTTTCACTTCCTTTTACCTCCTTTCCCTTTCCCTTTTCCTTTCCCTTTTTTCGGCTGCTTCTTATTATTCTTGCTCTTTCCTTTTCCATTTTTGCTATTATTTTTTCTATCTTCGTCCTCCTCCTCGTCGTCGTCGTCAGAAGAAGTTGAATGCATTGTTATATGGTCATTCGAACCCAACAATGATATTTCAGAACTTCTTTCTTTGAAGCTCATCAAAAGTTCTCCCAGCTTCTGCATTGCTTTAACATCAATCTCACTGCATTAATCATGGCAATCAGTTTATTACAAATGTAACAAAAGAACTCTCCAATACATATATACTGAAGACGACAATGATCAAATTCTTTCGTTTATTTATGTTATTCGAGATGATTTTCTCAAAATTAAGACTAACCTCGTATCTAATGAAGAAGAAAGCTCGGTCAGTTCCTCCATCGTGGCCAGCAATTTTTTATCTTCACCAGGGTGAGTTGCCATGTCAGCAGTTAATATTTTTATATGCTCCTTCATTTCCTCCTGAAAAAATTAAAATTAAAAACAATATATCATCATCATATACATGATCCATATATAACTCCCCAAATAAAAATAAATAATAATAATAATTTCACTTTTTACCATCTTCATCCGAAGAGTGCTCTTGGAATCTCCATCATTTCCATACCCTGCGTCAAATAATTCCTGAATAATGTTCCAATTTAAGTCCATTCGCACAACCCCTTCGCCATTCTTTGAGGTGCTCAATTGTGAATCGGTTTCCAATCTCGTGTTTGAAGATTTCGTACTAGTGGTAACTTGTTCACTAACAACATCATTTCCATCAACTGCAATTACTTTTTCATCACCGTGTGAATGTGTTGATGCTTCACAGCTGCTCTTGTTAGAAAATAGTTTTCTGATCACCTCATTTCGACACGAGAACGACTTCAAGTCAAGAAAAATGGAATCGGGACATACAAACTCGACACTATTAAACTCAGTCGAGGCTACAATAACAAGAGGATCCCCTATAATATTGAAAGCTCCAGCAACTGCAGCAGCATTGTCCGAAATATTATTATTATTATAATTCATCCTCGTACGCCTATCACGAATAGCTTCACAAAATTTCCACGGCAGCTGGTTTCTGACATAACCTACTTTAAGCACCTCAAAAAGTGTATTGAACGGCAACTCAGAATTCAGACACGATAAACAAAGAATCATGAACAACCTCAGCATAAGCACCGGAAGATAGTACTTGCAGTCGATATTAGAACGATTAATCCATTCTGCCGTACCCTGACTGTTATAAAGACATCCCCTGGTCACATCGGCAACAAATTTAAACGTGTTTGTAGCATATGATTTTTTGTCGGCGATTAAACCCTCACTTGGGTTCGCATCCGGTTTAAGGCACATTAAATATTCTGCAAACGAGGATTTTGTAGTGAAAAAGTGACCTCGACAGTGAGGAACCAAAATCAAAAGTCTCTCCACAAGATAAAAGAAACATTTAGGAGATATATAGTCTCTTGCCCTCCAATTCCTGTTATATGTTTCGACAAGTGCTTTATGAAACTCGTGACTCAGAGCTTCTTTGGAGGAAGATTCTTGCACGGTACCGAGATTCTCGATGAATGACTTCCAATTACAAGTGTTTTCAGACAGCCTTGCAATAAGCCTCTCATAATTAATCCCGTTTCTCGGCTTTAATCCAGACCCAAGCATTATCATCACCACCTCGCCTATCTGCCTATGAGTGAGTTCGTCGTTCTTCAAGCTAATATTTCTACACACAATATCTTCAAGTGAATTCTTGGAAATTTCGGTTTCCCTTAAAGATACCATATCCTCAGATAACGACTGTCGAGGGTCCAAAGGAAAAACGATTTCAACGTATTTGGCAGACAATTGAAGAAAGTTGTGCAGTTTGATCGCATCAACTTTCTTTGTGCCGAGTGATTTCGACTCAAGGAACCTTGTTATGTCGAAAATATGAAGGAGGTACACAGTTTGGCAGTACTTGGACAAAGAAGGCTTCATCGAAATAGCTTGAAGAGCATCCAATACTCTTAGTCCAGCCGAAACCATTTCTTGACACCAATATTCTCGTGCAGCTGACGCAAAATGACGAGCATCAAGAGTTGCCACCTGTCTTTTCCACACAATGAACCTCTTGTCCGAAGTTTTAATCCATGCAGAATTAGGGTTCAACAATATATAATAGGTGTCACTTGAGTTATGTGCCGACCTCACTCCAAAGTAGTTAAAACAGAATCGAGCAGTGTCTTCACATTTGACGAGGTCTGCCCTTTCAAGAGAGTCGAGACAGTCGAAGATCTCCACACTTTGTACCTTCAATAGGCTCCAAACGAAAACAAGGGTTCCACCAGAGACTTGGTTCTTCAACATTCTTTCTTCAAATAATCTTTGATCAATCAACAATTGAGGAAGAAGATCCAATTCATATTTTGCTGGATGGACTTGAAAATGGGCATCAAGGAATTTTCTGACGGATAGAATTTCGACCATACGAGTTTTATATTGCTTTGAAGCACTATAACACTGCATCAACTCAGATAAACTCATTCTATCACGGCACAAAAATTCGGCCTCGGCACAAATTGATGCATGAAAATTTTCGGAAACATTGTTTGCAGCTGATGTCGCTTTAGCTAATAGCTCTCGATCCTGAGGAAACGATTTTAGCGGCCAACCTTGGCTTCCATATACCCACAGAGAGTTATTAAATACATAAGATATTACGAGCAACGAAGCATTTCGAAAGTCCTTAGTCTTTTCCAGCAAATCAACCTCTCGTAAAATATGTCCTCCTAATTGCTGTGCAATCTCTACAGCCTCTTTGAAATTTCCACACTCTTCCTCCAATTTTAAAAGATCCTCAAGGCAATCCAAGGACTTTAGCAAGTTTCTTTTGGACTCGTCCGTACAGAAAGCACGGACAAACTTCATCATCGATGCACTGTCATTTTTCCTATTACATTCCAAAGCACATTTTTCGAGAAACTCTTGTGCAATTTTGTCAATCCCTTTAAATCTTGTCATAATTCCAGTATCAAATGATTTCCATTGCTCGATGTACTGCAAACCAAGGTCAAAATGATTGCCTTTGGTGCAAGCTGATAAGCACTCGTCGAAAAATTTCCCCTTGTTATAAACTTCAGCGGCAATTTTGTAACTTCCAGCTAAAGAGAAACATTCCCCAGCTTTTCTCAACTCCGACGTACCACATTTGTCCAAATAAATCTTTCCTGCACCACGAAATTAATTCAAAAATCAACCCACTATTATGAAGTCACGAGGATTCACGTAAATAATAAACATGTGTCACTAAAATTCATTCATATAAGTTATTGTTTAATCGGATTCGTTATCAAATTAGAAATAATGTCCAGGTTTATTTGAATTATCTAACCAATCAAGTCATGTCTAACATGAATCGAGCTCAAATTTTCATAGAATTTTATTTCAATCTCTACTCATCTATAAAACTGTCTCATTTGCTCTATAACTCATCCCAAAAAGTGCTTAACAAATTAAACCACGAAAAACTTCCTTAATGCGTGATTCTTCTCTTTAAAATTAGGTGTTATTCAATTTTTCAAAGGTACATTTGGTAATCTACAAATGAGTGTACCTGCTCTTTCGTATTCCTCCAAGTCGCAAAAACAATCTGCAGCAGAATCAGCTCTGTCAATAGAATCAAATATTTCAGCAGCCTCTCTAAGCATAACACGAGCCTCTTTAGGGTTTGAACCACGGAGAGAGTCAGCCGAAGCTCTAAGACCAGAAGCCTTGGCCCTTTTCTCCCATTTTTCTTCTCCAGCTTTTTCGAAGCACACTGTTGCCATCTCATAATTCTTTTCCCAAAAGAGCTGCAAAACAATAAATAAATGAATAATACAATTATCAGAATAAATAATAATGCAAAAAACATAATATAAAGAGAAGCGAGCAAAGAAAATTGAAAAAAACCTTGATTCCCTGTGATTTCCACTCCTCCGGGCTGCTAGCTCTTTGCATTGCTAATGCAAGAGAATCGTCTATTTTGCGAACTTGAACAAGGCACAACCTTCTCCAATAATCGAGTATGGGCTTCGACAGCTGTTCATTGTTTTCACATATCCACAATCTTTGCCTCGTTCGAGTGATGGCCACGTATAGTTGCTTAAGTTCAGAGCACAGAATGTTGTGTCTTGACTCGCTAAAACTTGGAAACGACTTTGGAGTACTGGCATCAAGTAAATCCTTTTCTTTCAAGAATTCATACAAAACCCTCCATTGATCACTCATAGGTGAAGAACCAAAAAAATTGTACAACAGAACATCCTACAAGAGAAGCAAGCAGTACAAGAAGATCATTCAGAGATCACAGCAAATAAACATTCATAGATTAATTTAAAAATATATATATATATATTAACTTTATAAATTGCAAGAAGCATTATTTCTAACCTGAAACTCGAGCCCCTTGCACTCGACTATAGTGAGAACAAGAGCTTGTTTGCCAATATAGTTGAAAATTTCCCTTCTCGCAGATTCGTCACGTACTAAAATTACTTGGTCAGCACCAAACCCTACCCATTTTCCAGCATCATGTCCACTATGTCCAAAAATACTCATAATCAAGTTCTCGTCACTACCAGGTTCGAGTACCACAGGAGACTCACCATAAATAAGGCTAGTCTCCGGAGGCAATACATCAATCGACTGAGGAAAAAAATGGCAAATAAGATCTATGACACTCTGTGCCAACCTAAGTACCCCAGTATGCGTACGGAAGTTCTGTGACAAACAAAAAGTATCCGATACAAGTCCTTTCTCTCTTCTCCCGCAATTTCTAGATTTCATAAAGAACTCATTATAGAACAACGATCTAATATCTTCAAACCGGAAGTCAATCCCTCTTGCAATTGTCTGAGCTGTATCACCACAAAATACAAATCCTTCATCGACATTTTTGCAAATAAAACGGAAAAGGGAAATTTGCCTCATGGTAAGGTCTTGCACTTCATCAATGTACACCAAGTCCATTTTATCACCAATTAAATCATCCTCGTTCTTGAGCCGTAGATGAATGTCAATCACAAAATCAGCAAGATCAAACTCACCACGCTCCAATTTCATTTTCTCATAGTCTTCAAAAATATCATAAATTACATCCCTCTTCTCTGCACTTAGAGTGGAAACCCTACTTTCGGATAATGAAACATAGCCATCTCTGCTTCGCTTGGTTTCGCCTGATTCCCCTTCTTTTAGACCTCCTTTTATATGAGACATTATTTCAGTGAACACTCTCGAGGGATCAATATTTTTTGTGAGCTTCGCGTTCAAGCGGGGCCAGTATAAGGACCGAAAACGGTCATATGTAACCTCGTTTCTCCTTATGAAACTCTGCAGTGCAATAGATCTTCTACCTTGGCATTCTGAGGAACCTCTTACATCACGGAACCTCTCAAAATAAGAATTACCCAACGTACCGTCAAGCATCATTAGAAACTTATGAAATGTGATAATTAGAGGATACTTTTCTGGTTCAATGCCAACAAACGTGTCAGGGATATCTCGGAATTCAGCCATTTCATCTAAATCATCCATATCCGTTAAGTTATTATTTACGGAGGCATTCTCACTAGCAAAGCTGTACATATAGTAAAGTAAACGTCAGTCGTGCATTTCTGGAATATGAACCATCTTAAAACATTAACTTATGCCAACCAAGGCAATAAAAGTTAAAATAATTCAAAAAAAAAAACCGCACCTCTTCAGATGAGAAACATGCTTTTTAACAGCATAACATAGTTTTGGACTAACAGTAACAAAAAGCTGGTGCAAGGTCTGCACACTATTGTGATCTGCCATAGAATCGCGTGTAGCCATGCTGTATTGCTGAAGTTTCTGGTACAACTTGATAGTCAAAATAGTAGTCTTGCCAGTACCAGATCTACCTAATATAAAGCTGCTCCTTGGAAACATTATTATCTCACGCTCTTCGTCGGTGACCTCAAATGGAAGATCCACTTCTCGAGCCTCCACATCATCACTAAGCAACAAATGACTCACAGCATCACTCGACAACGAATAAAATTTCATCAACAGTAAGCTTTCGCTGACTTTGGCATTTTCAACATGACTTCTGCAGTCAACACCATCACTTCCACTATTAGTGTTGACTTTGGTGTCATTGAGATTCTTGAACCGGATAATATCAGTACAAACCGGCCAACTCTTTGGCATCTCCAAATGTCTGAAACAAAATCAAATTAAAAGAATTGACATCTACTACAACACTGTACAAGTAGAAAACTAAAAGACATGAGCAAATAGATGTCGGCCAATCAAGATTTGAAGTCATATTAGAAAAAACTTGTAAATTTTGTTTAATGATATTGAATTTTTCCCAACTGGATAAAGAACAATAAAAGACATACATATTGGATACATCATACAACAAAATATAACCAAAATGACGTACCCCTCGTACAACTTCTCATTGCAGCAGTTGATAAAATCATCTGTATACATAGCAAAGATGCTGTCAAGCCGTTTCAACAGTTTTGTAGTCTCCGTCATGGGCAATATGTCCCACACTTTCAAAATTTGTACATAAACGGGGTCCTTAATTAAGTCAATGGAGCAAATAACATAGTATTTTGCAACCTTGATTTGCTTCACAATATATGAAGAGCTCTCGCATTTACAGTTCACATTTATATTCTTGGGCCGCCAACCACTTGCAAGCTTAAGTAGAACAGTTATGGCCAGCTTCTTAACATTGGAAGGTTTCAATTTCTGAAATGATTTTCGGAAGATATCGCTGAATACAACCTGAAAATGTGCCATTTAAACTCTGAGAAAAAAGATACTCATTTGCGAAAAACACAAATATAGTAGTCTGTAACAAAAACCACAACTTAAAACGCAAAATTGAAAAAGGCACGACACATTTTCATGTATGGATACTTAAGCAAATACTACATAAAGAATTAAGTTTGACCTTGTTTTGTACATAATACAAATATAAGTAATATGAATGTATGTAACTGATAATCAAACTAGATAGAGCAAACGAGTGGTGCTATAACATATCTTTGATTAACACAATACTTTAAACATAAAGGCAACTAGTTTTGTTTGATACACACCAATAAGTTGTAGAAACATTTGTTTAGGCTAAAAGAATCGACAGATAAAATTCGAGTACAACATAAACAAACTAGTACCTTCCATCTCGAATTTTTGAAGAGTATACTCTTGCCAGTGAGCAAATCTTCAAGTTGATCCAACTCTTTCGTAATGTCTATAACAGCTTTTCGAATGTCGCAATCTTCATTAGCAGTGAAAAAACGATCGCGGTGCTTAGCATCGGATATTAATGCTTCCCAGACTGAATCACTTTTACTCAGAGTTTTTTCATTCCCTAGTATCCAAAGACAGTGACTAGAAAAGAGGGGGAGAAAAAAACAATAATCATTATCGAACAAAAAATCAAATGAAATCTAAGTGATACAATATTCATTTGATGGCATACCGAGCTCTGGTCAAAGCTACGTTAGTTCTTTGCGGGCTGGACAAGAAACCAATAGATCCACCTTTATGAGACCTCACAGTTGATATTATTATGATATCTTCCTCACCGCCTTGAAATCCATCAATTGACTTCACATTAACTATAAACTTGTCAAACTTCTCATACTTCCGTTGAAGCTTGTCTCGAATTGCTGCAACTTGTGCAGCATAAGGGGATATCAAGCCAATGCTCAGTTTCTCGTTTGAGCCATTCCATGCTATTAATAAGCGACAACATAATATAAGTGACCATGGTAAGTATGCTCGTAGAAGAGTAAGTAAACATTTTACGTTAAAAAAAAAAAATCATAAGTGGAGATAAAATATTGAGACTAATCAAGACTTCATAGACAAATATTAACTGTGTTTTTCAATGCATATATAATGTCTTTTAAAGTCCTTCTGGATGAACCTATTTAGAAAGAAACTCAAAGTCCAGGTGTATAGCTTCTTATAATGTGATTTTAAACGATATACTCGAGGACTTCATAATAAATCATTCATCAAATATAAACGTGGCACTAAAAATGTGAAATAGAGAATCTGATTTATGGCACGTAAAGCGACAAGAAATTGATGCAGGTACGGACATACCCTTGAAGAGTTTCTGCACTAGCATCACAGTTACTGCCACCTCAACCATGTTTTTCCTACTATACCCAAAATCATCCAATTCTTCATTATCACCAGGAATATCGATAAATGAATAAGGACCAAAAATCCTCCCTTCGAGATAGCATCTTTCATAGCTTCGGCTCCGCACACTAGGCGCATCTAATATCTGGTTGTCATAGAAATTTGAATTCGGAAAGCGGCTTATGGATGGATGCATCCTGTATTGCACATTAAGCAGATGCTTTGAGTGACCCAATGAGCTCAATCTCTCGAATAGACTTCTCCCGTAACCAGCTTCTTCAGATACCTGTGTTTAAACACAATATTAAGCATTATTTATGACCTTCTGCCCGTATAATATAATGAAATAAGTTAATTAAACATTTACCTTGCTTTTAACTGTCGCTGGTAACTGGCATTCATCGCCAACAAGAATTGCATGCCTGACACCGGGGATCTGAAGCGCAATGATCGATTCACACTCCTTTACTTGGGCAGCTTCATCGATGACCAACATGTTAAATGGTTCCATTTCAACTGTGTGCAGCTTATATGCCGTCGAAGTTGTGCAAAAAATTAAAGTAGCATTTTTGTAACACAAGTCTTGGGTGGAAGTTATATGAATGCCATTTGGCAGGCCAAGTTTATCTAGAGAACCCCGAAGAGATCTGAGAATATTCAGACATTGGCTTCTCATATACATTAAGGACGATGCAGAATCAACCGTTCCCTCCCGTAAGAAGATTCTCTCAAGTGTTTTAGATGTCAAGCTATTGTCTTCAAACAACAACATCTCAACCGAATCGAGAAGGGACATTAGTTGCTTTATGTTTCGAAATATCTGCTGCTCGTGAGCGGGATTCCTCGGTAAATGAGTGAAGAATGTAGTCATGCAATCTCTCAGAGGTGTTGCTAAACGTGGAAATCGATCTCGGACAAACTCCAAAAGTGATTTTGATTCGACGTGCTCGGGACTTTGTTTTGCTGCGATGAGCTCATTCTCCACAAAGATTTGATGATAAGAAACACAGTCTTGGAGAAAATCGAGCATGGACGAGATACAATGCTTCCAACCAGTTAGTGACCCGAGGCAACTTACAAGCCTATCAACACGATATTCTAAAAAAATTTCTTCAATGTCTGAGCTAACTTTCAAACGATCCTTATTGCCAAAGATGAGCATGTCTCCTAAAGGACAAGACAAATTGTTCTCCTCAGATTTATTTCTTACAAGTGCTATCACCCGAGAGGCCAGTTCTTTAATTGCAACGTTCGTTGGGGCACAAATGAGGGTCCTCACTTTCTTTTTTAAGAGACTAAACAGTAATCTGCTCAAGGTTGCTGTCTTTCCAGTCCCAGGTGGACCCCATATGAGTTCCACAGATGGCTTGTGGTCGCACTCGGATTTCGATAGACAAGACAATATTGCATCGAGTTGTGATTCATTTAACTTGGAGAATAAAGTCGAACCAAGTTTCTCTTCCATCTCAGCATTGTCTTTATGGCAACATACATCACACATCTCCTCACTCTGGTGGAGCATACATACACTAGTTAGAAAGTAATCGGACGAGTGCAAAATTTCCAATCAAAAAAATTATGAAAGAAAAAAATATAATCATCTCCTTACCAAGTCATTCTTGGCTAATAATTTATCAACGATTGTCAGATTTCGACGCATGCGCAACGCATTCCATATTCTTTTAAGTGGTGTAATGTTGACCAAGTAAACCACATAGAGTGACTCTCCTTGTCCATCCCCGAAGTCAATCTCCCGAGACGATTTCAGAGCAAAACTGGAGGATGTACAATTATTGTCACTCCCATCATCCTCAATATTTATTACAGAAGCCAACGTATACGTAAAGCCAACACGCAGTAAGTCAGAAATGGTTTTCGGTTCGACATCTGAAATCAAAACTAAATCACCGGGCAAAGTTTTGTAAGGCTCTCTGCCACCATCACTTAATCTGTTTCTCCAATCATCAACCTTAACGCTATATAGGAATTTCCCATGTCTTTGCTCACTAAACGATGTCACTTCAGCAAAAGGTGCATTATATACAGTTTCCGTGGCCGAAGCAAGTTCCGCGCGCGTTTCTTCTAGTAAAGGGAAGATGTAAGAACCGAGATAGCTATCAACAGATTCAAATGACTCCGGAATCTTCTCCACCTGCATGTAAAAGGAAATTAGTACAGATGGAAAAAAAAATTGATTATTACTACTAATGAAGATTATATCCATAAAGTATCTTCAAGACTTATTGAAAAATTATAATGACATACCTTATCGAAACAAAAAACAATAGTTTCCAACTTTCGACCATAAGAACTACCGAAAAGAGTAAATGAAAATGATAAACTATAAACCAAAAGAAGCAAAAGACGAATGATCATGCAAAAACCCCAATTTCATTTGACCTATCTACACGAAAAGGGAGTTTCCTCATATATGGGCGCGGTTCGATCTCTGATTACTACAAACAGCCAACTACTATATATGTATATATATACACAGCCACACACAATGAACCATATATATAATATATACATATAAATATATAATAATGTATAATTGGAAAAAAGACCTGGTGTTGGTACAGATCCTGATCGTAGATATCATGAAGAGACCATGAAAGCACCAAATCGGTGAACTCGTCTTTCGGCCATGTTTGTTTCATGGTGCCGGAACCAGAGGAAGTACGATTCCCCTCCATTTTTCACTTCAAACTTCTCTCTCTACATATATATAGATATATTTATATGCTGGCTTGGCTGCCAGTGTCAGCGAATTTCTTCAAACCCTCCTGGCAATTTTGAACAGAAACCCTGCAAAAATAGAGGCTATCTCAGAGATAAAATATGGCCATAAAAATGTTGCATGCATGAAAAATCAAGTCTTTCAACCAATATGGGGAAGTAAAAAACACATGAAAAATGGTTTTTCTATGAGATTAATCAAGGAAAATAGAAGAAAAACAAAATGAATGTTACCAAAAAACTTCCGTACAGCACAAATACTTGTGAACACACACACACACACACACACACGGCCGCCACTAGAAAAAATATTGAAGGGTTTTGCAGTAAAAAAAGATGGAGGAAACTGAATCGTCTTTGGGTAGAAGAAAATAAGGTCTTTGAAAATGAAGGAAGGCTGACTTTATTTGACTTGTTTTCTTTCTACTTTCAACTTTCTACTTTCTACTTTCTACTTTCTCACTCATGGTGAAAAAATATCTTTTACTTTACCAACTTTTGGTACATGTGATGTGATGTGATGTGATCAAGGGATAAGAACGTCCGGATAAGTCTAGACTAAAATTTACTGTCACATAATTGTGATTTTTTTCTTTTAAACATTCGCCTAGGGGTGGGAACGAGCTCGGATCGAGCTCGGCTCTTTTGGCCAGCTCGAGCTCGAGCTCGAGTCCATGTTCCGAGCTCGAGCTCGAGCTCGTCGAGCTCGTCGAGCTCGAGCTCGAGCTCGTCGAGCCAATTTTTTTTGGCTCGAGCTCAGGCTTATTAATTTTTTTTTTTTTTTTTTTTTATTATTATTTAATTTTTTTATTAATTTTTTTTTATTAGAAATTATTCATAGGAAAATAAAAAAAATTATAAAATAAATAATGAACTCTAGTTATATATATATTTTTTTTCTATTATTATTATTATTATTATTATTATTATTATTATTATTATTATAATATTTTATATAATTATGAATTATTTAAGTAATATAGATTTGTTTTTATTTAAATACTAGATATATTTATTATTATAGACTATTTACTATTTAGTTAATAATAATAATAATAATAAGAATAAGAATAATATATATATATATATATATATATATATATATATATATATATATATATATATATATATATATATATATATATATATATATATATATATATATATATATATATATATATATATATATATATATATATATATATATATAACAACTACTTTTGGGCTCGAGCTCGAGCTCGTCCGAAGCTCGAGCTCGTGAGCTCGAGCTCGAGCTCGAAAATCCCGAGCTCGAGTTCGAGCTTTTTTCGAGCCGGCTCGTCGAGTTCGCGAGCCGGCTCGGCTCGTTTACCACCCCTACATTCGCCTACTAATTTCAATATTTATTAACTTTGGCCTAACCGTGAATTTGTGTCACATAGACTGAAGTTTGAATATCATTATCAATCTCACTTATACGGTTGGTTGCGGGGTTTTTAAATAAAGAAAAAGAAGTTATTAACTTTTGATCATATTTCAAAATATAAAATTCTTTAAACTCATAGACATCTTCATATTTTGAGTTAATTGCACAGAATATCATTTGTAATGTCTAATTGTTGAATACGTGCTTGTGTTAAAAGGTAATATGCCATAAGTCCCTCAAACGAAACCTAATTTGAACTAAATGACAAGTTCAAATCCAATCTTTTATTTAAATCCTTAGATGTAAATAATATATGAACGATATCCCTAATTTTTTTTTATTCCTATCTTACCCTTATACCCTAAACGTATAACTGTTGCGTCACGTTCTCTCTCGCCGTTCTCTCTCAAACTCACGTTTGCTCCCATCTCCTTTTTTCTCTCCTCTCTCTCTTCTTTTTCTCCAGTAGCACCATGAAGGCCGCCGCCGCCGGCGACGGAGGGAGAAGGAGCAGGGGCGGCGAAGAGCGTCGTGGGAGAAGGAGCAGAGGCGATGGGTTTTTCTTCGATTTGCCGGAATCTTCACTACGCGAAGAGGTTTTTGGCGATGAACCGTGAGCACAGCCAGATCGACACGCCGATGCCGCCGATTGATTTTGGGGAGATTGAATTGGGGATTGTGAGGGGGTTTCCGTTGATTGGGAACTCGAATTTGATGTCGATTTGGCAGATTCCATTTAAGATGTCTGCGTATAGGGTTACTGAGAGGGAGAGGGCTAACGTGAGCCAGAGGGAGAACTCTGAATCGGGAAGCGATGGGGCTTCGACTTGCGACGAGAGCGTCGTTCCGGTGGAGGATCTGTTCACTTCCTCGTCGGGGAGGAAATCGTCGCTGCCCGGAAATTATGATCAGTAAAATCTCTATGTCGAAGAAATCGATGGAAGTCAAAACCCCCAAAGAACCAGGTAATTATTTTTCTCGTGTGTGTCTGTGTGTGAGAGAATAGAGAGGGAGAAAATAGAGATAGATTAATAAAATAAAATGATAAAAATGTTTGACGGTAGATACGCCGAAGGGGAGATTGAGTCGCATACTCCGACGGGAAGAGCGATGAGGATGAATTCGGAGAGCCAGCTACGATGATGACGATGAGTCCACGAACACGGAGAAGTTCCGGACACGCCTCCGATTCTGAACTGCCATAGTATATATACATATATATGTAGATATAAACATATGAAGTTGGAAAAAGATGATGATTATAGAACACTTCCATTTTGACTAGTGTCTCAATTATGCAGTGTTGAGCTTTTTTTTTTTTTTAGTTGTTTATTTTTAAATTTGTGATGAACTGAGAGTTATATTCATAATTTATTATTTTCTAATCATTCATTTCAATTTGAATTTTAAGTTATCTGGAACACAATATTGCAATAATTAGCTACTAACTTGAAAATTAATAATTGAACATGGTTACGCGGTGTTGGGCATGAGGATAGCGTTCGCTGGTTTGCAGCCCTTGTGTTGGTGACGCAGCGATAAAGGGGGTGGGGGATGGCGACGGCAATGTGGGTGGGGTTTGTGATATCTTTAGCGGCTTCACGTTGGCTTTAGCGGCTTCACGTTGGCGTTCGATTTCATGTCTACAGTTGTCTATGGGTGTCTATGGTGTCTAGCGGCTAGGATTCAGATGAGGAGTTAAGGTTTTAAGAATATTGTGACTACGGAGTTCGAGTTCATGTCTACAGGTGTCTATGGGTGTCTATGGTGTCTAGCGGCTAAGATTCAAAGGAGGAGTTAGGGTTTTAAGAATATTGTGACTACGGATTACTACAGTTTTCTACGGGTGTCTATACGTGACTACGGTCTACTACAACTTTCCTACAATTTTCTGCAGATGACTATGGCTGAAATTTTTTAAAAATTCATAATATTCAATATTATGTAGAAGAAAAAAAAAAGGAAAAAATAGATTATTATAATTATGAAAAAATACGAAAATGCAGAAAAAAAAAATGTTCGACGAAAAAAAATAATAACAAAAATGCTAGATGTAAAATTTAAAATATTAAATGCAGAATGAAAATAATAAAAACAGTTTAAATATTACTTTGTGCAAATTTTATTTTTTGTGTATGAGGGGTATTTTTGGAATGAAATTTATAAAGGATGTGAAGCAAATGTTTAGTTTGACTTGTCATTTAGTTCTAATAAAGTTTCTCACAAGGGACCTATATCTTAAAGCCCCTAAAAAAATGACCACTTATTTCCTATGTTGCATTTATTGCTCCCTTAATCGAGATGAACATGTTGACTTAAAGAAATGACTAAACTTCCCTTAACAAAAATAAAACAAAAGATATATATATTTAATGAATACCAAATTGAATGTATTTTTTTTTTTTCAATAAAATATTTATAACTTTTAACTTTGAGTCTTGACTTGTAGGAACTTCGGAAATTGTAAATAAAAAGCCAAACAAAATGTTAAATATAAATGCCACGACCCAATCCAAAATGTGAAAACAAAATCCAAATAAAAAAAAAAGGCTAATAAATTATCTTTTATCTTTCCCTATATTAGAATATCAAAAGTATGATGGTAAATTGAATTATGCGTTAATGATCTTATTGATGTATCTATTTATAATAAGGAATGTAGATTTAGTTACAATCTAACTAGAACTATTAATCTAAATATAACACTATAATAATAGACTCCTCGTCATATATTAACAACTCTTCCTCAAACTCAAGGTGAGTAATAGACCAATTTGAGGTCGTTAAAAGATGGCGTCTCCTCGGATAAGATGCGTAGTGTCTGGGAGTCATGGCGCTTGAAGATATGTAGAATTTCTGACAACTTCGATGATCGTCTGGTTTTTATCGATTGGATAGATCGGTTACCGACGATCTTGATGGTACATTGATCAGAATATAGATTAGAACATCGTGTACAACGGCAAATGTAGTACGATAACATTGATTTATTGTGTTTTTCTTAGCGATCTAAGCATAATAAGAAAAAGAAATTAAAAAAAAAATAAGATTGATCTAGGAAAGAGTACAT